AAAGAGGACACATTGACCCAGCAGTAAGTGCTCAAAACGTGGGTAAAGGTGTGTCGAACAGTGGGGTAACATGTTTCAAATGACAGCAGAATGATGCTTGTTGGCAGGCTGACTCAGTTCACTTGTCTCACACACACCCAGGGGGGGGCGAAAGAGGACACATTGACCCAGCAGTAAGTGCTCAAAACGTGGGTAAAGGTGTGTCGAACAGTGGGGTAACATGTTTCAAATGACAGCACACTGCTGCTTGTTGGCAGGCTGACTCAGTTCACTTGTCTCACACACCCAGGGGGGAAAAGATAACACTTGTACCCAGGAATAAGTGTTTGAAAGGCGGGGAAAAGTTGTTTGAAATAGTATAATACCTCCAGGGCGCATAACTGCACTTTACAAGCCAGAAATAATGTTTAAATGGTCGGGGAAAGTATTTTTAAATGTCTGGAAGAGAGTTTTAGCCAGTCATTTTGCACGATATCATTTAACATTGACGCTCTCCTGAAAATGCACAGAATATGTGCATTTTCAGGAGAGCGTCAATGCTAAATGATATCGTGCAAAATGACTGACTAAAACCCCGGAATAAGTGTTTGAAAGGCGGGGAAAAGTTGTTTAAAATAGTCTGATACCTCCAGGGCGCATCACCAAAAATGTACAAGCCAGGGAAGGTGCCTGAATCCCGGATACTTTAGGTCTGTCACTTAGGGTGACCGCACCACTCCGACGCTCCCGAGAGTGGACGTCCATTATTTGTAAGGCACCTAAGACAGACAAGGGGACAGGAAGAGATGAATTTCTAGTTGTTAGGACTCATTCTGGGGTAAACAGTGGTGTTAAGACGTGGCTCCCCTCGGGCTCTTCTCAGGGGAAAAGCAAACTGGTTCTGAGTGATTCTCAAGAAGAACAAACAGTGATTCAAACCAGTCCCAACCAGGATGTAAAACAGGTTAGTATTGGAGTAAAGAGGTTACATCCCCCCCCCCTCACCTGTTGGAACGTCAACAGACTATTTAAAAAATCATTTTAGAAATGCTGCAGGACCAGCCTCAGTTTCAGCGCCCACCCCCCGTGTGACAGCACGGTCCCATGACTTCACGTCACCACCGCTAAGCTAAGGGCGGCTAATGTTGGGCTATAAAGGAACTACAGCACGGTCACATGACTTCACGTCACCACCGCTAAGCTAAAGGTGGCTAATGTTGGGCATGATGATGTTTAGTCGTCTCATTTAGACACTGTTAGCAACCTCAGTTTTTAAATTCACCAGTGGGGTATTTACTGACGCATTTTATGTGGTAGAACAAAACGTTACAATTTCTTCAGCTTGTGTTAACCATTGACCTCCAGACAAGGGGACAGGAAGAGATGAATTTCTAGTTGTTAGGACTCATTCTGGGGTAAACAGTGGTCTTAAGACGTGGCTCCCCTCGGGCTCTTCTCAGGGGAAAAGCAAACTGGTTCTGAGTGGTTCTCAAGAAGAACAAACAGTGATTCAAACCAGTCCCAACCAGGATGTAAAACAGGTTAGTATTGGAGTAAAGAGGTTACATCCCCCCCCCCCCTCACCTGTTGGAACGTCAACAGACTATTTAAAAAATCATTTTAGAAATGCTGCAGGACCAGCCTCAGTTTCAGCACCTGCCTGCAGACATGCCTCGTGTAAGGTAAGGCCTGATACAACAGACTGATTTAAACATGATGATGGATATTTATTTTCTCTTGGATTTATTACCATTTTTAAGGTAATACAAAAGGAAATGATCAGGTTACATTACGTACAACTACAGTTTGACAAGTAAAGTAACTAAGTACACTTACTCAAGTACTGTATAAGGACAATGTTGAGGTACTTGTACTTTACCTAAGTATTTCAATGTTTTACTACCTTGTACTTCTACTCCACTACAGTTCAGAGGTACATGGTGTACTTCTACTCCACTACAGTTCAGAGGTACATGGTGTACTTCTACCCCACTACAGTTCAGAGGTACATGGTGTACTTTTACTCCACTACAGTTCAGAGGTACATGGTGTACTTCTACTGCACTACAGTTCAGAGGTACATGGTGTACTTCTACTCCACTACAGTTCAGAGGTACATGGTGTACTTCTACTCCACTACAGTTCAGAGGTACATGGTGTACTTCTACTCCACTACAGTTCAGAGGTACATGGTGTACTTCTACCCCACTACAGTTCAGAGGTACATGGTGTACTTCTACTGCACTACAGTTCAGAGGTACATGGTGTACTTCTACTGCACTACAGTTCAGAGGTACATGGTGTACTTCTACTCCACTACAGTTCAGAGGTACATGGTGTACTTCTACTGCACTACAGTTCAGAGGTACATGGTGTACTTCTACTCCACTACAGTTCAGAGGTACATGGTGTACTTCTACTCCACTACAGTTCAGAGGTACATGGTGTACTTCTACCCCACTACAGTTCAGAGGTACATGGTGTACTTCTACTCCACTACATGTATTTAATACCTTTAGTTACTTAAGCCCAAGCGTTTAAAAACAACCTATTTGAGTGAGCTGTTGCCAACTGCCATTGACCTCCATTGTAATTAAATGAGGGTTGCTTGGGTGATAAACAGAAAGAAAGTGGTGATCCACCTACAACTCCCAAACAGTGAGTGTTAGATTGGTTTTAACATTTAACACCATGTTATTTATTTATCTGATGCTCTATTTAAACAGAATTATTAAATCTAAGTCTCTAATTTAAAGAGTCCTCTCCTGCTGATGTTCAGGTGTATATCAGTATGTAGTGTCTCTACTTTAAAGAGTCCTCTCCTGCTGATGTTCAGGTGTATATCAGTATGTAGTGTCTCTACTTTAAAGAGTCCTCTCCTGCTGATGTTCAGGTGTATATCAGTATGTAGTGTCTCTACTTTAAAGAGTCCTCTCCTGCTGATGTTCAGGTGTATATCAGTATGTAGTGTCTCTACTTTAAAGAGTCCTCTCCTGCTGATGTTCAGGTGTATATCAGTATGTAGTGTCTCTACTTTAAAGAGTCCTCTCCTGCTGATGTTCAGGTGTATATCAGTATGTAGTGTCTCTACTTTAAAGAGTCCTCTCCTGCTGATGTTCAGGTGTATATCAGTATGTAGTGTCTCTACTTTAAAGAGTCCTCTCCTGCTGATGTTCAGGTGTATATCAGTATGTAGTGTCTCTACTTTAAAGAGTCCTCTCCTGCTGATGTTCAGGTGTATATCAGTATGTAGTGTCTCTACTTTAAAGAGTCCTCTCCTGCTGATGTTCAGGTGTATATCAGTATGTAGTGTCTCTACTTTAAAGAGTCCTCAGGTGTATGTAAAAGTAGCGACAGTAAAAGTAGTCATTGTGCAGATTGGTCCATTTCAGAATAATATATATGATATGTTTTATAATGATTGATCATGAAAGTGTTCTCAAAGCTGGTAAAGGTGCAGCTAGTTTGAATGACTTTGTATACTGCAGGGTAGCTTGTGGATTTACTCCAGGTGGAACTAAAGTCTGATTTAACACTTGATTATATTTCACATCATTCATCCACATCTGTGAAGTAACTAAAGGTATTAAATACATGTAGTGGAGGAAAAGTACACCATGTACCTCTGAACTGTAGTGGAGTAGAAGTACAAAGTTTAAAAACATTGAAATACTCAGGTAAAGTACAAGTATCTCAAAATTGTACTAAAGTACTGGAGTAAATGTACTTAGTTACTTTACACCATTGCTTGTAACAGAGTATTTTGACCATGTGCTGTTTCTACATGACCTCCTGTGATGAAAAGAAGGCTCAGTGAGCAGAAGTGAACCGTATCACAGTCTGACATCTAGTGGTGGAAAAATACATTGCATTTGATTTATTAGGGATCTTTCGACTAACAGAAGCATTTAATATTCTCTCATAATATAAAACCATTCTGTATGATAATAACTTTTATTTTGATGTCAATAAAACTCCACTACATGTATTTAATACCTTTAGTTACTTCACAGATGTGGATGAATGATGTGAAATATAATCAAGTGTTAAATCAGACTTTAGTTCCACCTGGAGTAAATCCACAAGCTACCCTGCAGTATACAAAGTCATTCAAACTAGCTGCACCTTTACCAGCTTTGAGAACACTTTCATGATCAATCATTATAAAACATATCATATATATTATTCTGAAATGGACCAATCTGCACAATGACTACTTTTACTGTCGCTACTTTCACTATATTTTGATGAGAATACTTTTCTACTTTCACTTGAGGAACATTTTGAATGCAGTACTTTTACTGTAACAGAGTATTCCTACACTCTGGTACTTCTACTTTTACTCAAGTACAAGACCTGAGTACTTCTACTTTTACTCAAGTACCAGATCTGAATACTTCTACTTTTACTCAAGTACAAGATCTGAGTACTTCTACTTTAACTCAAGTACAAGATCTGAGTACTTCTACTTTTACTCAGTACAAGATCTGAGTACTTCTACTTTTACTCAAGTACATGATCAGAGTACTTCTACTTTAACTAAAGTACACGCTCTGAGTACCCCCCCCCCCCCCCCCCCCCCCCCGCCCCCCTGTGTCTCTCTTGTGTTTATCTGGTTGAAGATGTAATGACCCAAAAGGCTAAAGTTCCCTCACACTAAACACAGCACACTTTGTGAGAGTTTATTATTAACTCCAGATCCTTGGTGTGATCAGTTGTGGTCAGAGGATGAGCTGGTTTTCATTTAGGGGACAATTCCAATTGGTGTGTGTGTGTGTGTGTGTGTGTGTGTGTGTGTGTGTGTGTGTGTGTGTGTGTGTGTGTGTGTGTGTGTGTGTGTGTGTGTGTGTGTGTGTGTGTGTGTGTGTGTGTGTGTGTGTGTGTGTGTGTGTGTGTGTGTGTGTGTGTGTGTGTGTGTGTGTGTGTGTGTGTGTGTGTGTGGTGTGTGTGTGTGTGTGTGTGTGTGTGTGTGTGTGTGTGTGTGTGTGTGTGTGTGTGTGTGGGTGTGGGTGTGGGTGTGTGTAGGTTGGTGGTGAAGCCCTGGTGCTCAGCAGCACAGCTCAGCTGATGCACGGCGTGGAGCTCTCCAAGGACCAGACTGGAGTCACTGCTAAGTTCCCGTCCTCCAACATGACTCTCTTCTTTGATGGCAACAGCGCACATGTGACAGGTACAGAACAGTACTTCCAAACTGAATATTACATATTTATTTCTGAATGACAGCTTTAATTCTACCCTCACATCCACCAGGACTTCCTGAAGCTGTAGAGGGTTTGTGTGGCAGCCCCTCCAACTCCAGCTGGACCACCACCCCGACTGCAGAGAAGTCCTCTATCAGCCTCCCTGGGTACCGCTCAGTCCGACTGATATGACCTATTTGTCATAATGTGGATTAGGGTTCAGATGTAATGTGATCTTTGTCTCCCTCTAGCTGTGAGATTCAATACCAGGACTCAGTCGACAGCGCCATCAACTGCAACCGCTGCACCGACCAGTAAGAGCTGAGCCATGAACACCCTCGTCTTGTCATGTCATATAAGCAGCGTTGTTTCTGCAAGATCAACCAATGTAACACGGAATACTCTTCCCTCTGAACAGCTGTAATCTCATGAGGCAGCCTCCCTTCTCCGCCTGTCACGAGCACACCGACCCAGAGCCGTACATCAGCGCCTGCACACACACTCTGTGCAGATACCCGTCAGTGGATGGGGTCGACTGCCACTTTTTGGAGGCTTACGCCAAGGCCTGCAGCCTGGAAGCCAACGTGACCCTGGAGGACTGGAGGTCAACTTCTGGCTGCTGTAAGACCCTCTTTCACTTGAATATTCACAGTCGTTGTGGTTTAATACACAACTGGAAGTCCCTGTGTTTGTATAGTAGCCTGAGTATGGTCACATATACAGGATATATGTAATATGGATAGTGTGCAGTGTTTGATTCCACTTCATTCTAGGTTTATTACTTCATTCCTAGTAATAGTTTGTATAATCATTGTTATTAGTGATATTATTATGATAACTATTTAAAACTGTGTATGAAGGAAAAAATGGAAATTAAATTAAAATTAATAAAAGCATAGATTTTGTAAAATTAATTATTTTTATTTCATTTTAAATATTTTAAACTCGTCTAACTGTCATAGTTGGCTCCTCATGTTGGATGTTGTATTACGGTGTGTGTGATATCTCCTGTATAGATAGATTGTTAATACATATATAACTTTTATCAATATATTTTAAATATATATTATTATAAATTGTTATTAATACTATCATGAGTTTTAGAATCCTTATCTGAGATCTGCACCACTAAGTGTGTGTGTGTGTGTGTGTGTGTGTGTGTGTGTGTGTGTGTGTGTGTGTGTGTGTGGTGTGTGTGTGTGTGTGTGTGTGTGTGTGTGTGTGTGTGTGTGTGTGTGTGTGTGTGTGTGTGTGTGTGTGTGTGTGTGTGTGTGTGTGTGTGTGTGTGTGTGTGTGTGTGTGTGTGTGTGTGTGTGTGTGTGTGTGTGTGTGTGTGTGTGTGTGTGTGTGTGTGTGTGTGTGTGTGTGTGTGTGTGTGTGGTGTGGGGGAGTGTGGGGGAGTGTGTCTGTGTGTGTGTGGGAACATCAGAGCACCACAGGGCACACTTAAACCCCACTAAGAGGAGGGGCTTTAGGTTGGTGTGGCTGATAACTACTGAAATCTGACACACACACACACACACACACACACACACACACACACACACACACCATCCTCCTCACCTTGTACCTCTTAACTTCCTTCACGGGGTTATACCTTTCCCACCTGTTCAATACAGAAGCCATTTATGCCATTAAAACCATTAATATACTATATATTTATATATCATCACCATGTGTATTTATATACCACCCTATGTATTTAAATACCACCATGTGTATTTAGGGAGGGGGCAGTTGGTTCTCTGCCAGTCAGGTGAGGTATTACTATTTGACTAGTTACGAATTACTTCTTAACCTGTTAAGCCCCGAGCCTGTTTTTCAGGTCTCAGGCTCGAAAATGACATTCCCAGAACAAATGACCATATCTTCCCTTCTAAAAGGGTTAAATTAATAATCTTTTTTCTCAAAGTAATGATAAACCTGTGAGTTGGATGTAGAAAAGTCAGAATCAATATAGATGTTTTTTATTTTAAAGAAAATTCAGATTTTACATAGTAAAAAACTGTAAATTATAGTGTCCGTCCAAAAATTATTTTTTACAGATAGTGAAAACTACCCTTGGATGATGGGTTAGTAGACTAAAAGCTTTAGGAATCCAAAGTACAACATATAATAAGTACCCTGTATCAAGATTGATGCAAAACAAGTGACATTTCACCTTTTTAGAGAGGTTTAGCCAAAAGAAACCACTTCTGGGGTCATTTGGGTGGATTTGACCTATCTCTGGCCCCCCTTGCTCGATTTTGATAATTGACATCTCTTTTTAACCGCTAGAGCCAATGGAATCGAGGGAAAGTTCCACATTCACACACAGGTTACCAAATAAGGAGTGAGAGTGACGCGTAGAAAAACCGGATGCTACGCTAACCTCTGGTGGCTACCATTAGCAGCTACTTTTTATTCTCCGATTTTTACATAAAAATTGAATTATGGATTATCAATAATTTTTTCAAAGAGACAGACACATTGGATTAACCTCTGGATTAACCTTCAGCCGCGTTTTTTCTCGTTTTAATGCCATTGAACACGACTTTTGATCAGAATAACAGCTAAAGGTGAGCATATCTTCGTGTTTTGCTACCTAAAGCTACGTCGTGTGTTGTCTGTATTTGCTTCCCCTGTCACGAGTTCTGATCGCTCAGTGATGATCCTTATAGTTCTGTGGACTCTCAGAATGTTATTTAAGCTTGTTTGTGCAGATCCAATAAGTATATCGATCGGTATAGGTTCTGTAATAACGGCATTAAGATCTTTTCGCTCAGGGCAGATTCAGAGGCTCAGCGTTAGTCTTGTGTTTCTTTTTGCTAAAAATGGTTCATATCATCAGTTAGCTGAGTTTCTTCCCATTACATGGATATAAAACATTCATAGTTTATTAAATATTAAGAAGCCCTCAGACGCTGTTTCCTGCAGATGATGCGTTTTTCCGCCCGGGGGCGGGTCGATGGGGTTAGACAGGTTAAAGTAACCCACCCTGCTTATTGGTGTTCTAAGTTGAATATCTTTAGTGACGCTGATGAAGTGAACCAATGAGTTCACGGGTGAACTGAGGAAGTGAGAGATGCGATCAGGTATCAAGTACGACCTTAAACAGTAAATGTTTACACGGTGGTGGGAGAAGTACTCTTATTTACTCTGTACAAATATAATAGTTCAACACCTTTCTTCTACTTATTAGTGTTGTTAAATGTCTTGCCCTACAGTGGTGAAATGAACCAGTGAATTCACGGGTTAGCTGAAGCAGTTAGATAGAGGAAGCAGTGAGATGGAGGAAGCGCTTCCTGCTCAGGCTGAGGGGCTGAGGGTGCTCCGTGCAACCCGTCCGAGCAGCTCCAACACCGCTCCTCTCTCTCCACTTTCTCTCACCTGTAAGCGTGTTTCCTCGTCTCTGTGAACCTGCTCCGGTTCTCCGGTGGCCGTCCTGCGGCGCTGACATCCGGGTACTCGAGACTCCTCTCCGCGTCACCTCCTGGTTCTTCACCTGCCCCGCCCACACCTGGGTTGCGGCCCCCAATAACACCCAGCTGGAGGTTGAAGGAAGTTGGAACTTCCAAATATGGTATTGATGAATCGTGATCTTCTCGCTCCCAGGAAAGAAACTTAAAATAATGAGACTAATGGAGTCTCTGAAAAGGTTCAAATTGGTACTTTAATTAAGTAACGTGGTTAAAGAACAAGCATAGGTAAGGAAGAGACAAAGCCGGTGATGTCTCACGGGAGGCTGCAGCGAAGACAAGAGGCTGTGTCGTCTTTTCCGATCACCTTTATACTTTTCTCGTTCTCTCCCGCGGTGCAGATAGGGGGACCGCCCTCCTCGTCTTCAATGTTCGACATCGCGTGAAACAGAGGATTTCGACATTTTGTATTCCTTGCTTACTTCCTTAAGCCTTTTCTCCTCCTTATCTCTTTCATGACTTTTTATTTAATACTTTATAAACAGCTGTAATAGTTAGTTTAGAAATCCTAGAAACACCTTTACGGCACCAGTTCTCATTTACGGTAACTCCCTCTGACGTCATAGCTACTCACGTATGTGAAAACACTCTACGATCAACTGTACCTTCATTTAATATTCAGCAGTAATAATATCTCGACGTCTATAGATGTAGTGTTAAAGTCCGTAGGTTTTGGTGTGCAACACTCCATGTCATTTTCACTTTACATTCAGAAAACGTAATATTAGCCACATGCTAACTACTAACTACTAACCGGATATGAAGGATTTTCAGAATAAAAGCTTGGCATTGAGATTTTATGAGAACTTCCGGGTTTTTTTCACAATGAAACAGCTTTTAAACTGACGATATATTTTAGACTAAATTATGCTATTAAACATTGATTTTAATTTCTAACAATGGTCAACGCAAGTTTTAAGAGAACGCAGAAAAATACAATATGGAGCACCGAGTACATCTTGTGGTTTTAGATATATTAACATACTATTTAGGTTCTCAGCTGTTTGTCGATTTGGCTGTTTAGCGCAGTGTAAATTGTGTTTATTTTGCTAATTTGTATTTTAATATTCCATTTAAAGGAATATATATATACATGCTAACTGAGCATGTTCAGTTAGCATACATGCTAACTGAACATCTCAAGCTAAGAGCTTGACAGATGGAACAATGCATATACTCACATTTTTACAAGAATCTGATTTTGTGTAAGTTTTAAATATTCATTAAAATTCCTTTGAAGGAGAGTCTTTCACATTTTAATGTTTATTTATTTAAAACATGTATTCGTTGCTATACTGTAGACATGTGCATATGCAGTGGTGTATACTTTAATACTACTACTATATTATTCCTTTAAGTGTGGTTTTAAAGTCAAATGATATAAACGTATTGGGTATAGAGCCAAGTAACGCAGTCAGGTAATTAGGAAAGAGCCTCTGTTTGTAGATGGGGTTTGTGGCCATGTTGGCGGCCCCTGACGTTTTAAAATAAAGGATCAAATCATTGATGAGTTTTTATTCTTAGTTTCTCTCTAACCCTAACCCTTTACCTCACTGATCCTTCAAACACTGTGATGCCCTGCTTCACTGTTACTCAGATAGATAACTGATGAAATGCACGATGCTTAAAGGAATACTTTAAATGGAAAGGAGCATTTGTATATCAATAGAAAAAAGTCCGGTTAAAATGGATGTGAATGGGGGGCTGCGTTTAACAAAGACAAAACTGAAGACAAACATTGATTTATAAGCTTCACACAACTCGTGCATTATAATCAAAGTCTCATCTATTCATTGGGTGCTCACTACTTCTAAAAAGCTTGCATACTTGACTACTAATTACACTCCTGCAAAAACATTCACGCTTGAGCCGATGTGCAACAGTCCAGAAAAGAGTGTTTTAGAAAGCAGTGAGAATACAACTTTGTTTAGAGTAGGTGTATCACTCCACAGGAAATAAAAAGGAACTCACCTTGTGGTTATAACCGGCAAGAGAGGAAGCCTTGAGCTTGAGAACTAATCGAGGGGTTTGTCAAACAGAGCACATGGTGTAGTCCTAAACGATAGCTGGGGATTCTGGGTAGTGTAGTGTCTTCTGCCATCCTAAACTCCGAAAAAATATTTGTTTCTCCGAATCGAAGGGGGAAAATACAAAAGCATTGCACACAATTTAAACCAATCAATGTTGTGTAATTAACAGGATAATCTGGTGTTTTTGAGTTGATGAGTAGTGCAGATATCTCTGTCAAATCAATCGACAGTAAGGAGAATAGTTACTTCCGGGTGTACAATTCTCCGTTATCCAATGGGAATGGACGCTCACATTGCCTTTAACACCCGCCGACACAAACGAATGCGGTGCTTCCATGAGCGTCAAATCCCGGCGCAGATGGGAATACATTGCAAT